ACTTCATCATCTTGTCAGATTTTTCTTAAATGTCTTTGTTCTGGTTGTGTATGTTGTGGACATTGGGCAGCTTTTGGTGGTGAGTGGTGACAAAGAATGGCCTTTTCTGATGAGGTTTGTGGAGTTTGTAGCTAAGTAGATCCTTGTGCCTGAGTTTGCACACTTTGTTTATGGTGGGGGTTATAAAACTGTTTTGGTATCCACTGCGCAGAAAGTTTTCCCTGAAATCTGTAATTCTAGCATTAAACCATTCATCCCTGGAACAGATGCGTCGGAGTCGGAGCGCACCACTGTAAACAACCGAACGGAAAATATGTTTGGGGTGGTTGGAAGAAGGGGGGAGGTAGCATCAGCTGGGGATGTGATCAAAGAGGTTGGTGCGGATGTGACAATTTTCACCGATGGATCGGCAGTCGCAGGATACCGCAAAGGTGGAGCAGCAGCTGTAGTGATAATAAATGATGAACCACCACGAACAGAAATGATTAAAACTAAAGGTGCCTTCCTTACATCATCTTATGATGAGGAATGCCAGGCAATGATGTCTGCTGGACAATGGATTGCCGACAATTGCCCCAGTAGGACCAATGTGCTGATCTTGACTGACAGTCAGTCCCTCTGTAAGGGGCTGCTGGGCAACAGCTCGGACATGAATGATTTGCGCCGCAAGTTCAGTGAAGCCAGAGCCACAATAAAAATTCAGTGGATTCCAAGCCATGTTGGAATAGAAGGAAATGAGGCAGCAGACCAAGCTGCTAATGAAGCCAGAGAGATCGAAGCAGACAGACGACCAACGACATACAGAGGAGTCTTTCCAATAATCAAGAGAGAAATCAGAGACCCACCATGTAGAACTAAGTACCAGCACCTGGAAGATGTGTATTCTGGGTACTCCTATTTGCGGAAACAAAAATCCATCACATGTCGCTGGTACCAGGTTGAGCTAGCGAGACTGCAGTTGGACCATCATTGGAGTTTAAGATGGTATAGGAACTTTGTAAATGAAGAGCTCAGCCCATGTTGCCGAAGATGCGGCCACGAAAAAGAGGATTATTATCAAACATATGTTTGAATGTCCAGGAACAATGGCAATTCGAATGGAGTTATTTGGACGAGTGGAGGTGCCGCTAAGCATATTGACAATGGAGCCGAAAAAGAGCCTCGCTCTCGCTCGAAGATTTCTTCGTGGAGTCCACCAGGCCCATTAAGGAAACAAAAAAAATCACCAACATCACCATTACAATAGAACAGGTAAGGGTAGATAGAAACTATTTGGTTTTTCTTTTATATCGAGTGTCTACAAGAGTGAAACCATATGCATGCCAATAACTCAGCATCTTTGCACCAATTAATTTCGTCTTATTTTCGAGTAAACTTAAGAGTAAATAAAACCAATGGAGACAACATAATCTTCTTTAACATATATAGAAATTCGGTCAGTGTGCTCGAAAAAATAGCAAGACGTTTTTGCTATTGGTGCAATCTTAAATCCTATTCATTCCTATTGCCTCTGGTTTAAAAAAGAAAACCCATCTATCTTGAATATATGTTGAGATACGTATCTACGATTGAAGGAAAAGTGTCTCGTCCGATGTGAAAGGCAAAATTAACGAGAAAATGGGCGCCAAAGTTTTGGGGCATTAAAAGCTTGAGTGTTGATGGAAACTGAAAATGTTATTTTTGTGCCAAATGTTTTCAGTTGAATCTTACAAGATTATTTCTTTAATAGACATTGTAGGTATTGATCCTGAAAAAAATTGATAAACGTTGCTAAATGGACGGAAGACATCGTATTTCTTCTGTTGAATTATTTTGACGAGAGCCTAATATCACCAAGATACAAAACATGATTTTGTTGCACACTATTATTACTGATGTCCAAATTTGTCTTTCAACTACCAACTACGAGAACTTTGAAGTTGTATGAACATGCGCATTAGTCTGAAAGTGTTTTATTTTTAATACAATGATTTTGTACTCAGCGTAAGTTAAATGGAACTGAAACATCCTCCTTTATCCAGTTATGTAATAGATAAAACAACTTCCACACTAAAAGAACAGTTTTTCAATAGCAATTTTAAAACAAGGATGACCATAACAATAATTATTATATAGGGTTGTTAGATATTGTGTCTCCTGATGTTGTATGTAAAAAGGAATGCAAAAATCACCGAGTCAGCTCATTTTAGCACTTTTGCACATCTGAACAAAATTACGATATAATCTCACAACACAGGTAAACGTTTATTAAAAAGAACAACGAGATTCATCCAAGAAAGACCTTCTTGCTACCAATGGCAACCCATTTGGAAGAATGTCACTTCCTATTATATGTACTTTTGTCTGTTGTGGTAAAGGTCATCTGTTTGATGGTTGAGTTCACATCAATCGCACTGTTTTCTCACTGAAATGGGGTTTGGCTGAAAACACTCACATTATTAAATAAATCATCTTGCTCTTCCTTTAAACAAATTGAATACCTCAAATAGATAGAAATGGGAACATGATATCAACATCGACAAGAGGAGTCGTTTTAACACTTAGAGGGAATTTTCCTGATTAATCTTTTGAGGAAAAAAAAACCGATTGCCATGTACAGCTCAAGAACGTACATGTGAAACATGCTGACATTATGAGTTACTTCTTGGATTTGAGCAATATGGAAATAGATACATCAAGCTTATACGTTTTTGAAAATACCTAAGTATGAAATAATCTCACGCCTATTACACATACAGAATATGGCATCTTTTGAAAATCTAAAAATTTGGCCCTAGTGTTGATTTTTATTGCCAATATCTCCATTTGTGGATTGCGAGAAGTAGCTCATTTTGTCAGCTCACCTCACAACCCCGGGGCGGTGCTACTGACTGAAGTGTCTTTAGGCCATTCCCCAAAGGGGGGACATTTCTCGTTTTAATGCACAGTTAAATTGTAAATGGGCTGATCCAACAATGTCATGCCCATATCTGTGCCTGAACTACAACAGGGAACTGCTGCTTTTTCTTTCCTAATCCTTACTGTCGTCGTTTTCCTCTACTTCTTTTTTATGTTTGCCACACTCTTCTGACCCGCTATTGCCGGGGTGCCTTGATAGTCGAAGCAGAATTTTTGTGCCGTTGAAGCTAGAGAGGTGAGCAGAGTAAGTCTGATTCCCTGTAAGGACTTCTCTGTTGATATCTACCCCTTGGAGCTCATATGACCTTATGCAGTTGCGAGCGCCGTAAAACGTCTACTAAAACTAAAACAAAAAACCACACATCATCATAGGAAGGGGACAATTTCTTACTTCAAAAGTTGGGCCTGAGATGACGTTTGTGGGGGATCCAGCACAGCAGATGGGTGGTCAGGACACGAGTCCACGGTCGGTACATTCATGGCAACGTCACAGACAAGGCGGGCTTGGAATATGCTGGGATGAAACAGTTGGAGTGTCGTTGTCCACTCCGCCGGACACAGCAGGTCAATGTCTCGGCAACATGAGTCTCTAAAGAAACATACTGGGTCACATGGGCAAGACACGTTATTGTGGACGGTCAAACAGTAATCTATGCAGGGCTCGGAGGACGTGTTGGAGGAAATGTTTGATGAGGAAGTGTTGGAGGAAGTGATTGAGGAAGTTTTTGAGGAAATATTGGAGGAAAGATTTAAGGAAGTGTGGGAGGAATAAGTGTTTGAGGAAAAATGTTGAAGGAAATGTTTGAGGAATTGCTTGAAGAAGTCTTTGCTGCTACGTCAGTCCTATTGCAGTTTGTCAAGCTTTGCCAATCCAACCCTCCGGTGGTCAGTGTCTGGTTGTCTTTTATCGGAATGTCTTCCTCTGTTGTGGACGAGTTATCAGAAATAGCTTGTCGTCGTTGTCTTTCTGGAAAATGGATTGCGTTCTTTTCTGCTGACTCAGTTTGATCTGACTGTCAAAGCGTGAGCACCTCTCGTGTGATTTCTATTCAGGTTCAAAGTGTCCTAGTAGTCTGTACCAAATTGTGGCTGGATTGTATTTCTTTAAAAACAGAACAGAATCTCTGCCATTGCCTTGTGTGCCCCTACGACCAGTCTGATGCAAAATCATCTGTCTCGTATTGTCCTCATGTGGAGCAGCAAGCTTATAATTAGGCTTTTGCACGAAGTAAAGAACGTCCGCTGTGCTTGTCGATAAATTCAAGATGCAAAATAAAAGAACGAAACGCATCTTCCAAAGATTATTCAAAGAGAGTCCAAGTTTGGTAGGAAAAAGATGGGAATATGTGATGCCAATGGCCACTATCACAAAGTACTTCCTTCACATTCTTCACATGTCTCAGTTAACCACCTCAGAGAAGAGTTGACGAAACTTCACTTGTCCCCTCATTCCAGCACAGGAGGATATCACAATCAAATGGCTTTTCTGAACCCACGTTGGCTTATAAGAAAAGTAGCATCAGTTTTGTTTACCGTCCAATAAGCTTAATGATCTTAGATATCAAATAGGCAACGTGTTCTTGAGCATAGAATGTTTCTGGCTTTACTATAGCTTCTATCAGATTAGCGTTTGTTACATAAACATATAATCAAACTAACTCTTTCATGTTGGATGTAGACGGTTGCATATCGTTCTGGGCATTTTGTAACAATGCAGATGTTCGAAGATTTATATGATAGTTTGTTACTGGTACAAGGGTAATAAATCTGTTCTTAAATCTTTGCTATATACATTATCTTTCAACCGCGAGTTTCACTTAAAAGTTAAAAGGTACACAGTATCGTCCCATGGAAAACAATACATCAGACGCCATTTCTTCAGATTTGGGGGAGGGGGGGGGGGCTTTAAAACTCCATGCTGAGATATAATCATTAAAAATTATTTTATGATGTGAAAAAAGTAAATTACCAATCAGTACCAGAACGTAAAAAAAGAAAAGAAAAGCCCACCTTTAACCAAAATAAAGTATGGTGACATGTAAGAAGCAGTAGTCCTAGTGGTCTTAGTAACCCCAGTTTGGCCAGTGGAAGTGGACACCAGGGTTACTTAGGCCACCCCCCCCCCCCTCGTCATAGCCAGACAAGCAGGAAATTATCAACTAAAATTAGAATGTTCAATCTAGTAAGCCATATAATATAAGAACCTAATTATCAATGTTAAAAGCATGTGGTGCTACAGTGTTTGAAATAGCTTAGCAAAGTTTGAAGGCAGGTTTCCAAAAGGAAAATTTTAGCACATGGTGGTAGCAGTCTTTGCTCAAGAATAACTTTTCACAAAATATTTT